ACCCACAACCAGCATGATAGTGTAAAGATTAAGTGAGGTGCTGTAGAAAGAGCTTGGAATAGTGTCTGATTAGTATCCTGAATACTCCGTCAGCGTTAGCTCTGATGATGGTGAGGATTCGGTGAGGTGATGTGCAGAAAGTGCTGGTTAGCACAGAGCTTGGCCCAGAGGAAGGAGTGAGAGTCATGTTCCCTGAGCTCCCCATTATCCAGCATGGGAAGGTCATCCTCGGCCAGAGGAAGAGTATTGCAGGAAGGCGTAGAAGGACCTTTAAGAGGCTCCACAGCAAGGTCAAAACTGGAGATTCCAAATACCTGTAAGGTTTCTTGTGTTAGGAAGCAGAATAAGAGTTCCTCTGCCGGTGAGCCTCTTGAGAAGGGGCCCTGGGTCAGCTGTATTAACTGTAGTATCTTCACCACCAGCACATGCCAGCCCGGAGCAGGCACTTGGGAAGTGTTTGTTAGTGATTGAATGATGGACAACTTGTGGCCGTTAGTTGTGGGAGAGAGGGGATATTGACTTTCTTTAACTTTGAGGTAGGAAGTTGGAGACATGGAACTAAGGAGGTCAATTAACAGTTAATAACTAACTTACTAACTTAAACTTACTATGTTAAATTTAATATGTTAAATTTAATACATACCAATCCAGATCAGTTCACTGATACTTGTTTCATTAAGTAGGGAATTAAAGAGTTCTTCCGTTTTCTATTACATAACAGGAAAGTAGAGAAGTCCTCGTAGCTTCCCCCGTGCTTATCACAGTGGTCAGTGTCAGAAACCCTTGAAATGGGAATGTGCCTTTATTCTGGGACAGCAGGAAACAGCTTCAGAAACCTTAGCAACAGCAGGGGAAATGGTGCACAGGACTCCAGCCTCCAGACCACTCCAGTGCCTGTGACCACAGGTAACTGGGCAGGCATGGCAGTGGGGCCTGAAACCCCATTCCTCCAGCTGTTGAGGGGCCCACAAATTCTACACCTCCACACACACACACACACACACACACACACACACACACACACCACTGGCTGCTCTTCTCTTCCCCGCGCTGCTGTGGGCACATTGGTCTCTTTGCCTGTCTGTTCTCTGAACACACCACACTTATTCCCAACTCAGCAAGGTCCTTTCCTGACCTCTTTATCCTGCATATTGTCACAAGATTCCATTCCTACTTCTAGAGAGGTCTTCCTTAAGCCCTCTGTCTAAAATAGCACCCTGCCCTTTCTCCCATCACTGTGTCCCCTTCTTGTGCTTGATTTCTCTTCAGAGCATCAATAAGTACCAAGCACTGTCTGTCTTCTTCACTAGAGTAATAACATTGTTAAGGCATATGTGATGCTTAAAACGTTGCCTGGCCCACAGAAGGGACTCAGAAATCTTTTAACTAGACGTTACAGTTTCTTTTAGACAAAATCAACCTAAGAAGTATTCCCAGGATTGTGATTCTTTAGTGTAAGCACCAAGATGACCTTGTTTAGAGTATGGTATTACATCTAATACTATCTGTCTATCTATCTATCTATCTATCTATCTATCTATCTGTCTAATACTATATATATATATAGTATTAGATGTATATATATATATATATATATATATATAAGAGATTGTGTGTGTGTGTGTGTGTGTGTGTGTGTATGTATATGAAAGAGATCCCAGTTTATGAGTGTGTTGGGAAGAGAAATTTTCTTTTAAATGTTCTTTTGTTCCAAAGGTTTACTTGTAAACTGGTTGCTTGGAATTGAGAGCATATCACATTTTCTAAAAAAGGATCCTTACATTGACCCAGAAATACCTACCTCAAATTCAAGAAATTCAGGCACTCATAGAGAAAATGCTTTCAGATAGATGACTCTGCTATTTAATTTTTTCCTAGCCTTCTTTTTTCTAAAAAAGGTTTAAGTTAACTTGCAAGAATCATTTATTCATTGAAGTACTTAAGTGACAACAAACATTTCAAGTCTGTTGCTGAGCACTGGGAATGCAACATGGAGTAAGGTGGACACAATCTGTCTTCCCTGCAGTCTGACGGGGGAGGTGCATTAAACACATAATTATACAAATAATTATTTTAAATTGTGGTAAGAGCTATGAAGGAAAAATAGGGAAGTGGGGGGAGAGGGTGGTTCTGTTTGGGCAAGCCGTCCTACCGTCTTCTACTTCTGATTTCCTAAAGATGTTCCATGCAGTTTGCAGCCACAGCCACTGCAGTGGAGATTGCAACAGGTGGAGCGGTGAGAGGAAGGCCCTGGAGTTGGCCAGTGTCTGGACCGAGGTCCTCAGATTTTAGTTGAGTCCCTTTGTAGTGTCAAGGGTACGGGAATAAACAGGAAAAAAAGCTTTTCTCTACTAACTAAAGGAACCCAAATTAAAAATAATGGTTTTGCTGAAAGCAAGGAAATACGTGTATGGGAACTTTCCTTATTTCTTTTTCCTGTGGCACCTCTGCTGAGGTCCTTTATATTCACAGGTGTCTCAGAAATTTTAATATCCATGATCTTCACCTTATCCTCAAGTTACATGGTCATCCTGTGGGAATGACCAGTCCTGCCTTAGGTGCCATCTCCTGTTGACATTTCTGGGGAAGTTTGGAGGTTTTAGGGCAGAGGTTCTCAGATTATATTCCAGCAGAATCTTTTCTTTTTTGAAATCTTTGCCTTATTGAGGTATAATTGACAAATAAAATTGTAAGATGTCTAAAGTGTGTGTACGTCGTGGTGGTTTGATATACCTATACATTGTGAAAGAATTCCTACCATCTAGTTAATTCACATACCCATCACCTTGCATATTTATCTTTTTCTTTTATTTTTTTTGGTGAGAACATTTAAGTTCTACCGTCTTAGCAAGTTTCAGTTCTATAATACATGCTGTCAACCATAGTCAGCATGTTTTATATTAGGGCCTCATAACCCAATCCAGCAGAATTTTAACATACCCGAATACTACAGTAGTTAGTATGGGCTCTAACTACTAACTCGGGCTCTGGGCTCTGGGGATAGACAGACGGAGTCTCAAATCCTGTCCTTGAGCAGCCTGGACCACTTCCCTAAGCCTCAGTTTCCTCATCTGTGCGTGTGGTGAGGGAGAGGGGAGCTGGGAGGGGGCACTGACAGTTCCTGCTTCTTGGGCTCTTTGGAGTAAGCTTGCACACAAGATGGTTAGCACAGTGCCTTGCACTGAGGCCTGAGGAAGTTCCCGGTACACATTAAGTCATTAATATTATTGTAATACTGCCTGGAAGTATCAGTTTGAGTTGGCTGACGCACTGTCTTTTCAGAGCTTCTGGGGAGGTTAAAATCTTTACAACCTTTAAAATCTTCGCCTGGGTCCCATCTGAGAAAGGGGAAGAAAATTCCCACTGACTGTGCTAACTGGCCATGTGCTAATAGGACTCATCACTGCGGCTAGTACTTGTTAATATTGTGTAATTTATCCAAGTTAAAAATAATTATTATGTAGCCTAGGATAGCAGCTACCAACTTAATACCTTTTCCCTCTTTGGAAAAATTTATTCACGTTTCCAAAATTCCAGTTTATACGTGAAAAATTTTAAAATGAGGGCACTGTATTTAGAAGTGAGAAGTTTGTGTGCTAAATTTATTCACACTTTAGCTAATGAAAAATACCGTAAGACCATTTTCTGGGCCAGTTTTGATATTCCCACGTCTGGGAAGGCATTGAACTTGTGCTTGGTGATACTGTCAGGACCAAGGCATAAATCAAGCAGGATGGATGTATTTGTGCTTCTGGAGAGTATGCACCATCACCTTTGCCCTGTCCAGGGAATGAACCCTGGTCCCTCGATGCCCACTTTTGCACATTTCAACTCAAAATAGCACAGTAGTAGACCTTCATAATGACATGCTTGTTGCCACGGGATTTATTTCTCTCGAAGCAGCCTATTGATATGTTTTTTTAAAAACAGAAATGCTAGGAGTACAGAAATTTGGATGATATTCTTTTCCTGGCACAAAACATTCTTAAAAACTACAAGATCTTCATTGTTCTGGGAAAATTAATCTTTTTAGCTTGGAGTTTGCTTTTTGCCTATGTTGGTTTCTTTGAAAGTCCTTGAGAAATGTTTCCCTTTGCAGTGAAATAAAAAACATTCAGACTACAAAACCCATCCTTCTTGGTGGGGTCACGATCTGCACATCAGTTCTTCAGGGTATATGTGGTGCCAGTTAATAGCCACTTGATTTTCCTTTAATTTGAAAGTTATTTTTAGACTAACAGTCATGTTCTATGAGTTGGCTCCAATCTCCCCTTTCCGTTACCTTACATACATATATCTAATAGTAATCTTATTTCTTAAGAATTTTGGCATATACTTAGTAATTTCTAAATTCTCCCTTTCTTAGAGACTTTGTGGTATTGTGGGGACTTTGCTATTTAGTTACCTGGTATACAGTCGTGTAGTACTGTTTCCTGGAAAGGTCTCACTTCCATGGAGGGCCTAGAATAAATTGTAGTGTTCTTGCTGGGAATCCTCAAGCCCGTCAAGGGGTTGTTGCTGGAGGGATGAAAGCATGGATGGGATGGGGGTCCGATTGGCTGGCATGGCCTTTACAGCATGTGCCAACAGTGTTCATTTAAGTAGGGAAGTGCTGGTTTTAATTTTTTTAATGTCCTTAAATGCTGATGGTAGCCTATGACTTAAAAGTAAGCTTGAGCTGTATTTTGCTGCCAGATTCTGTGGGAGTTTAAAACAATATGGTGCCAGAGGTTTACATGTTTTTAAAATGGCCACAGGTGGCTGGAACAAAATAGATTAACACAGACATGCTTGAAGGTTACAGTGGTTTCCTTTGGAGACTCACAGACAACCATCAAAGCCACTTCTCAAACGCTTGACATCATCATCTTAGTCTGGCTTGCCAGCTTCGGGTTTCAGTTACATTTTTGCTTATTTGCTTATTGGGCCAGAAAAAAATCAAAACGGAGCTGGGTTTTCTTCCTTTTGCTATTATCCTTCTGCTTCTTAACTTGCAGAACGCTGAGCCTGTGGCAGCCGCCGAGACCCTGGCCGGGGTACCTGAGCATGTGCTTCGAGGCCTTCCAGAGGAAGTGAGGCTTTCCCCATCCGCTGTTGACAAGACTCGGGTTGGTGAGCACCGGGGTCAGAGAAAGAGAGGGAAGGGAGGGCAGGCTGTGGCGAGGCTTGCCCTGGGGCTTCTCAGGTAGGGAGCTCACTCTAAAAGCAACACATCTGTACTCTGACTCAGAAGACTGTGTTTTCCAGTTAAGAATCCAGGATGGACATAGATTATAAAATTAAACCGGACGCACACCTTCACCCATCCGCCATCCTTGGTGATTCAGCCTGAGCAGGCCCCTTCCTCCGTGTCTCCCCGGGGCTCTTCATCCCATAGGATGTATTGCTTCCTCCTCTGATTTCACTGTGATTTGAGTGTGATTATGCTATTATATTTATTTCATTATTTTGTATTTGTTTTCACATCTGTCCCTTTCACTGATTGTGAGTGCCTTCATTTCTTATTTAGCTTATGTCTCCAGTACCTGACGCTCAGTAGATATTTTAGTGAATGATGGCATGAGTGTATTCCAGTGCTTCTGGCTGGAATTTCTTGTTGAATACAGCCAAGCTTTTTTGTATTTAGTCTTGTTTTTGTGTCCTAATCTTTAGGCAGAAGGCTAAGGAGATAAGTTATAAAAATTAGTCAAAGTACAGTCTTGGAATATATCATGTTTCTGTCCTGTTTTCTGTTTTTAAAAATGTACTTCTGATATTCCAGTTTATGTGTATATGTGTGTGAATAAATTTTTAATAAATGCTCTTCCTAATTCTCATTGAAAAGTATTCAGTGAGTAATCTGAGCATTTATATTGTATTATTCATGAAAGTAGTTGATTTTATATCTCCACTAATTAATTATTAGCTGGGGTAACAAACGGGATTCATAGCAGACTTATAGGCAGTGGAATGAGTTCGTCGTAGCTGGGCAGGACTGGCTGAGACCACAGCCTCCGTCTGTAGGTGAGGTACCTGAGGCCAGAAGGTGACGGAACCTGTTCACAGTAAGAGTCACCCTGGCACTGGTTCCCTTGACTCCAGGGCATCTCCTGCCATTTTACCCACTGCTTCTGCATCTTGTTTGTTTGCCTTATGGTCAGTGTGGAGAAGATAGAAGTACCCCTGAGAATACCACAAAGCAGCATAAATCTGAGTTGCTTGAAACCCTGAAAAGTGAGTTGTTCAAGTTTTCAGGAAACAGAGAGAGGAGAGCGTTTTCCACTTGGAGCAAACAAACTTCAAAAATATTTATTCGAAACTGTGTTTCTAACCCTTTCTAAAAGCAACTTACGTTCATTGGGGACAACTTGAAATCTGCAGAAAAGCAGAAAGAAGAACTTAAAATTTATTTGTAGTTTTACTACATTCCAATATTTTTTTCTCTTTTAATTGTTGTGATTTTGCTCTTCTCCAAGTGTTTGTGATTATGCTGTCTGGGTAGTTTTACATGTAAAAATTAAAAACAAGCAAATATAAAATAATCTCTCCTGCTTATAAAACAGTATAGGTTCTTTGCAGGCTATTAGGAAAATACGTAAGAACATAAAGAAGAAAAATAAATATCCCCATTGAATACTTGATTTAATTTGATCTTGTGTGATCTCGATTAATTTAACATTGTCTTGCTTTTAGGCTGTCTAGCCTGTTAAGTATTTTGTGAAACCGAATTGCTTTTAATGCTTCAGTCTTTAAAATAACCACAATACGTTATGAAAATATTGGTTTTATTTTCTAGGTGTCTGGGCCACTAAGCCAATTTTAAAAGGCAAAAAGTTTGGGCCATTTGTTGGTGATAAGAAAAAAAGATCTCAGGTTAAGAATAATGTATACATGTGGGAGGTAAGAAATAATTCTGGTCCTTTGTTTTTCAGAGTTCTGTACATTTTTTAAGATACCATTCTATTCTCTTAGGATTTGACATTCTGAAATTAAAATAATCATCTTAATATGTTCTTTAAAATCAAGAATATTTTTATTAGAGAGAAAATGTGTTTCCTTAGATACAGACTGATTTTACGTTTGTATTTTGAAAGTGCTTGGCTGTCCTCAACAATAAATGTCAGATCGACTCTTTATTTGCCTTGTTCAGGACTTTGCAGCCAGGACTTTGGTCTGCCACTTTACAAGCTTGCAGACAGATACCATAAAAGACACTCCAAGGTGGCCGCAAATACAGCGTTGTTAGGGTCTTCTCCGTATTTTAGAAACTAATCTCTGTGTTGCTGGAACATTCAGAGTTGGACATATTTAGCACACGGTGTATTTATATAGTGGTTTGGACTTTTAGAAAGGCTTTCATTCTGTTCATTTCACGTTCTCACAACAGTCCTAGAAGAGAGGGAGTGTTCGCACACCCCGTACTCAGGGAAGCCATCCAGAACAGAGGGAGCAACTCCTCCTTGTGGGGCCCACGTGTTGAGAGTGTTGTCAGTGCAGAGCCAGAACCCACGTCTCCTGCCTGGCAGTGCGGCAGTTAAAAATGTTTCATTGGCTTGCCTGGGTTCACATCCCGCCTTTGTAACTTTGGGCAGGGCACTTAACCTCTGGGCCCCAAAACCCTCAATTTACAAGTGGGGAGAATAAAAATAATCCCATTAAGAAAGCTGTAAAGATAAAATATCTTGTTATTGTTTCCTGGAGAGTTGCATGTGAATTCAGCATTTCTGTTGAATTTAATTCAGATCAGGTACCCACGGGAAGCTCCTCATGTTCTTGTAGAACTCAGTGTGTGACTCCTTTTTAAAGCAAGTGAAATTTTTTGATGGTGAGGAAAAGCATTTCTTTCAGATTGCCTTAGATTGAATCACATCTGTTTCGTATGTAAACATATAAAAGTCTAAAAATAAAATACGCCTAGGAAATGTCTGGACACTTTCCATCAAGAAGTTCTGTGGCATTTGTCCGTTGGAGGTATATTGCTATTTTTCTCAGTGCTATGAACAGTGTTTCTTGCCTTGAAAATTCTGACGGTTTCTCTAAGTAATTTTGAGAGTTTCTTTGAATCCCTTATAATAAATCTAGTGACAGTTAACCCAAGGGGACTTAGGAAGTGACCAAGGGAGGGATTACTTGGTGTTATTTCACAACTTTTGAGTGAAAAGAGTGCTGTATTTGTAGAAAAACTGCCCAGCCAAAAAAAAAATTACTCAAGATAATGCCTGAACGCTTAAAATCGTCTTGACCACAAAATTATGTTCCAAAATAAACAGCATTTTTAATTTTAGAAGTTTCCCAAGTGAAACCAACAAATATGCTCTACCAGGTTAGCGGTAATCCTAGTTAGGATATGTCAGGGAACCAGGAAATGCTTACTCTAGTTCTGTGTGTATCTAAGGTTGAACAAATGTCATTAATAGTAAGTTTATGGTACTTGTTTTACTTGACATAACAATTTGATATTGTTGGGCGTATTGTATAAATTATTAACAGTGCCTTTTGTAAATTAAGCTTCATTTGTATTGAAATTCATACAGAGTATGAATTCATAGTAGCTTGGTGAAAATTATAATTTGGAGCCATGATGTATTAGAGATTCGATTTTTCCTATAAACTTGTTAGCATCCCGCTGTTAATTTAAGGTGTTTCTACTTATGTACTGCCACAGTATGGGAATCCTTATGACATTGCCAGTTCTTGTTAGTCAGGTTTAAACATTTAGTTCTTGTCAAGGCTGGCTTTTCCTCCCTGCAGTTAAGAAAAAATCTGGCTGTCATTCAGATAGTTTCAACTCTGAGGTATATATTCCATGCAGAAACCTTTAAGCCTTTTGCTGTGTTAAAATAAAAGTAGATATATATGACATACACATGTGGAGGTATGTATTTGGCAAAGTATAGGAAGTGTAAATTATAATGTACATATTTCTTATAAAGAAGAAAATAAAAATCCAGGTAAAATTTAGTGTTTCCCCATTAACTAATTCCAACCTTGGTCTTATCTTCAGAGTTGCAACAGGACGCCCCCAATTAATGTAACAGAAACTGCTTATCATTAAAATCTCATCTTGGCATTTGTTCTTCCCATTAAAGCCCCTTAAGGCCAGTTTATCTTTTAGCAGCCTGGTCTTTTGCCTCAGCTAAAACTCCATTTTAAAGCTAATCTGAGGGAAAGCGTTAAATTGCTTTTCTTGAGCCCTTTATTATCTAACGCAGTCTCAAGTCCTCTAAGTTTTCACTGAAAGCGTTCTATTAAATCAGAAATAACGAGAGAAACAGTAGAGTATCCTCAGGGTGAAGGCACAAAACAGTTAGGTTCTGGAAAGAGGAGAGCACTCTTTGGTCAGTTCCTGGTGGGGAATTGCTGGCAGGCTAAAGGCTGGACTTCATGTAATCCTTCTCTCAACTACCCCCCTCCCCCCGAAAAAACCAAAAAAAAACAAAAACGCGCACACACACAGTGAGCAATGTGCAGTATTCTTAAGCCACTTCTGGTAAAAGCCTTTCACATTCACTTCCATGGGGCTAAAATTGCTTCTGATGAACAGAACTTTTGAATTGTTTGCATGTTTTAATAAGTCCTTTTTTAAAAAAATTACTCTTTATTTTTTAGAGAGTTTAAGGTTCATAGGAAAATTGAGCAGAAGGTACAAAGAGTTTTGAAATCTCCCCCATGAGCCCTACACACACAACTTCCTCACTATCCACATTTCTACCAGAGTGGGACATTTGTTACAATTGACACACCATTATCACCCAGAGTCCATGGTTTATATTATGGTCCACTTTTTTTTTTTTTTTTTTTTTTGTAATGAGACTCTTTTCCT